GTGATTGGTCTCACGTCAAAGGCTCCGCTGGGTATGGAGAGTTCACTGCTCAAGGTGGTTCAGCTCAGAAGTGTCAAGTCCAGGATTGGATGTGAGGTCTTTTACCCACCCTGGGCTTCCTCTGAGACTCCAGGCTGACTGTCCCTCAGCAGCTGCTTGCCAGCCAATGCTACTCAGGCATTTCCTTTGACAGCTTCCAAAGGTGACAGCAGTGACTCTGTGAGCATCACGCTCCACAAAATCCATTCACCTCATATAAATGGGTCCTTGTTCTGTGCAAGCCAACCTGGGCAGAAAATATAGCGTTTGCTTATTTCCCCTGTTCCCATTCCACATGCACAGTCTCCATTCCCACCAACATCTTGTTCAGTTTTGTTTTTCAGTGGGAACCTAATTTCCAGTGGGTAGTATGGCAGAGTTAGAGCTTAGTTTCTTGTAAGTCAATTGACAGACCTGCCATTAGGTAAGAGGAGGTGGATAAGAACCTCATCAGCTGGTGAGCCCCTCCAAATGTCCAGAGGAAGTTGCCACAAAGTGTCTGATTGGGAGTGAGAACCCCACCTCATTTTGCCTTGTGCACAAGAAGTCATGTGGCCTTCTTTCTTTTTAATTTTATTTTTTCAATTACAGTTGACACTCAATATTATTTTATATTAGTTTCAGGTGTACAGTATAGTGGTTAAACAATCATATACTTTACAAAATGCTCCCCCTGATATTTAAGGTACCCACCTGGCACCATACATAGTTATTATGAGTGGATAAAAAAGCAGTGATGCATATACATAATGAAATACTACTCGGCCATACAAAAGAATAGAATCTTACCATTTACAACAGCATGGATGGACCTTGAGGGTATGAAGCTATATGAAGTAAGTCAGACAGATAAAGGCAAATATCATGTGATTTCACTTATATGCAGAACCTGAAGAATAAAATAAATGAATAAACAAAACAAAAACAGACTCATAGATATAGAGGACAAATTGATGGTTGCCAGAGGGAAGGAGAGCTTGGGGGCCGAATGGAAAAGGTGAAGGGATTAAGAAGTGCAGATTGATAGTTACAAATAGTTACAGGACATAAAGACCAGCATAAGGTATATAGTCAAATGATATACCTCAGCACCAAAAAAATAAAAATTAAAAAAAAATCCAATTTAAAAATGAGCAGAGGCCCTGGCCAGTGTGACTCAGTTGGTTGGAGTCTCATCCTGTGCACCAAAGGTCACAGGTTCAGTTCCCACTCAAAGCACATACCTAGGTTGTGAGTTCAGTCCCTGGTTGAGGTGCATCTGAATGGTAACCAATCAATGTTTCTCTTTCAGTTGAAGTTTCTCTCTCTCTTGCCCTTCCTCTCTCTAAAAATCAATAAACATATCCTCAGAGAGGGTTAAAAAAAAATAGGCAGAGGACCTGAATAGACACTTCTCCAAAGAAAACATACAGATGGCCAATAGACATGTGAAAAGATGCCCAACATCACTAATCATCAGAGAGATGCAAATTAAAACCACAATGAGAGATCACTGCACAACTGTCAGAATGGCTGTCATCAATAAATCAACAAGCAACAATTGCTGGCGAGGATGTGGAGGAAAGGGAACCCTCGTGTACTGTTGATAGAGTTGCAAATTGGTGCATCCGCTATGAAAGTACTGTGTAGGTTTCTCAAAATAGTTAAAAATTGAACTGCCTTATGAACTAGCAATTATGCTTCTGGAAACATATTTGAAGAAATACAAAACACTAATTGGAAAATATATTTGCACCCCTATGTTCATTGCAGTTCTATTTATTATTGTCAATATATGGAAGTAATCTATGTGTTCAATAATGGGCAAGTAAATAATGTGGCTTTCAACAGCTATCAGTCTTGAAAGCACAAAGAATCTGGTAAATCTGTTCCTTTCCCAGCCCACTTCAAGCATTGATATTGTAATGTGTTAGATGGAGTTTCTTGCCTTGAAATAGGATCAATATGAAATACTGGAATGCAGTCTTTGAGAGATGGTTTATGGACTTCCAAATGGCATTGGCTGTTTTAGTGAATTGAGTATGTTAGATATGGATAGCTTATTTAGGTCTTGGTTAATTCAAAGGTGTGCAATCCTGTATTCCAGTTACTGCATTTGGCTGTCCTTTCAGAGTTTATGATAAAGTCTTCATATCATTGGATCAGCCAAGTCTTATGCAAAAGAGGATTTGAGTCCATTGCAATTTGGGAATGTGTGTTTTGACTCATCTACAAAGCTATAAAATACAGCATTAATTTTTTAATTGACATATTAAAAACACCCCACAGGCAAATAATTTTTATAGATTATGAACGAACCAATAAATAGAAAGTTATTTTTAAGTTTTTTGTACATGCCAAGCTTCTTAGCCTCATCAGAGAGTAGTAAAATGTAAAACAGAGTTGCTGCCTCTCCAATCTCCCACCACCTACAAAAATCACACAAGAAATCCAAATTCAAGGTAGTCAAATCAGAAAATATGGATAGGAATTATAAAATACAGGTGGAGTCACACCAACCAAAGGAGAAACTATTTTGATTTATGGCCTTTCAAACCCTTATATGCAAATTATTTTATATAAGTATGAATATATGTATGCATTCTTATACATTATTTAACAAAAAAAGAGATTGTACACATTATTTTATAACACTTTTCACTTTTTTATAACAATTATTATAAATGCCTTTTCTTGTCACTAAATATGGATTTACATAATCTCTTGTCACAGTATGTCATTTATTGATGAATTATAGTTTATATAACCCATCTCCTATGATATATTTTATTTGGTTTTGATCTTTTATTATAGTCAAAATTTTGAAACAAAATATCTTTGGTTTTGGGCACTTGTCTGATATTTCCGTAAGCTCAGGTGTTAAGATGTACTTGAGAATCTTACAGTCTGGTTGTAGAGACAAAACACAATGCAAAGAAAACAAGCTCATACAGGGAAGACTGTGTCTAAATTAGTTGACAGCCAAGAGTCAACGGCCAGAAAAACCATTTCACACTTAGGTTGCTACATAAGCCTTCATGAAGGAGAGTTGTAAGTGGTAGAAACTTAAACCAGTGTAGGTGTAAAAAGTGTATGACCGGCTCATGAAATTGCAAGCTCACTTTGATTTCAGACTGAGCTGGGTCCAGTGTTCACTTGATGTTACTGAGCATGTGTGTGTGTGTGTGTGTGTGTGTGTGTGTGTGTGTGTGTGTGTTTTCTCCATCTCAGTGTGAGCTGCATTCTGAGCCAAGCTCTTTCTCTATGGCAGCTCCCTCCAGTAGGTCCAGACTCAGGTGGTTTTTATATGCCAGAAGGAGAGAAACTCTTTCTCCCAGCTTCTCTGTTAATCCCTTGCAGAACTTTTGCTCACCCACCACTGTATATAGGGAAGTGGGTGTCCTGGTGGCTACTTTGGGTCATGTGCCTGTGTCCTTGGTGAAGAAGGTGGGCAGGGTGTGACTGAAGGCCCTTTCCATGGAGCAGTTTTCAAAAGGCAAAGATGCTGGATGGTGAAAAAATGAGAGGATACTGGAACTTAACGGGTGAGCAACCACATCCATTAGATGCTTAGGGCTGCAATTAACAGGGAAACTCCAAGTCAAATTGGTCTGTTTGCCAATTTTATGAAATCTGGAGGTGCAGTGGGCTCTAGCACCACATGATCATGGCTCAGTGATGTCATAAGTTGACTGAGGGTCAGCTTCATCTCAATTCAGATTTCCCTCAATATGGCTGCCAATGGCCATCAAGACACCTATTCTCTTTGTCCATAGCCAGCACTTGAGGATGAAAAACAGCTCCTTGTGTCAAGAACTATAAGGCTTTTCCTGCCATGTGATTGAATCAGCCTAGGTCATGTGCTCACCTCTGAATCAATAGCACACTGACTCTGGGAACTACTACACACTGATTGGCCAATCACTGCTCCTGGAGGAAAGGGTGGGGTTACCTTCCACATGGGATAGGTAGATATTTGAATGAAACTGTAGTACCATTAGGATTGGAGGACACACACTGGGTAGTCAACCAACAAGGGGTTCCTAATAAGATTTCTTTAGTTAGGAAGGAAATATGGAGTTGGATAAGGTAGAGAGGCAATTTATGGCCTGGTCAACGATGTGGAGACAAGATTACAGAGGCTGTCCTGCAGGAAACAGGAGAGTGCACTAGCTTATTTGGAAATATTCATTTCTTTATCCTTTTATTGCTCATATATTTATGGAGCACCTACCATGCACCACTATGCTGAGGTGAGTGCTGGGAATAAATGAGATGGATATAGATAGTTCATAATTCACATGGCCTTCTAGTGGGGAAGACAGCAGACAAATGAGCTTCAAAGATAATATGTCAAGAAAAACAAAACAAGGTAGGGGGATAGAGAGAATGGGAGGGAGAAGAATCCAAGGCCTCTTGCATAGGTTGATCCATAGACTTGAAGGATATGATGAAGTTATCCAAGGTGATCTGAAAGAGTGTATTCCCAGCAGAGGGAACAAAAAATGCAAAGGCTGCCAAAATTGGTTTGGCTCAGTGTATAGAGTGTCGGCCTGCAGACTGAAAGGTCCCAGGTTCGATTCCGGTGAAGGGCATGTACCTTTGTTGTGGCACATCCCCAGTAGGGGGTGTGCAAAAGGCAGCTGATCAATGATTCTCTCTCATCGATGTTTCTAACTCTCTATCCCTCTCGCTTCCTCTCTGTAAAAAAAATCAATAAAATATATATTTTTTAAAATGCAAAGGCTATGGAACAGGCATCCATGGCATGTTTGGGGAACAAGAAGGTGGACATGGGGGACAGTGGTAGGGAATAATGTCAGAGAGGAAAGGTGAGATCATATGGGCCTCACAGGCATTGCAAAGACATTGTTCTTTCCCTGAGTAGGATGTTGAATTCATGATGACAGAGAGTGGCCAGACCCTCAGCCCATGGCTTTGTCTTGACTGAATTTAATCCTTTCTCCTCTCCTCTCTTCTAGGCCATGTACATGTTCTACGCACTGGCCATTGTGTGCGACGACTTCTTCGTCCCTTCCTTGGAAAAGATCTGTGAGGTATGTGCTTGATTCTCAGCATTTCTGAGCTGGGCACTGGTACTGCTCCAGCCTGCTTCACGGAGGCCCTGGAACACTCTATGCAACCGGGATGGGTGGGAACACCGGATATCAGCATACTTCAGAGTGATGGGCAACATTAGCACAAAAGTGCCATCAATCTGCTTAGAATTCCAGAACACCCATCTATAGTTGGGCTTTGACATACACATGGCCAGCTTTCCCTGTCCATTTGGCTATAACTCATGGTACTTTCTGAGTTCTGCTTCCAGTTTTCTTTCCCTCTTTTAAAATCTGCCCCTCCATTCTCTGTCACTCCCTCCTCTCTACCATTCCTTCTGCTTCAGTAACTCTCCTTTGGTGATTTGTGGAGTCCTTGTCGACTGAGAAATCTCCAGCCACACACATCCATCACCCTTCCTCTGTGTATATGTATAGAAATGCTTCAAGCAGAGGCATGAAAGGGGATAAGATGAAAGAATTGGCCACAGAGACAAAAACAGGACTCTGCTCAAAATCTGCCCAGTGACACCAGGCTGAATACCAAGTTAAATCCCTTTTATCTGAATTTTCAGCATATCTAGAACCCTTTTATTTTCTTGCCTCCTCCATCTTCTCCTCTGTTTTGAAATGTAGTTTCTTTTATCTGGAAGCTTTCCATTTTATTTTATTTTTAATTCAGATACCTTTCCAGAAGGGATCTCTCCCAAATGCCCCCCCACCCCAATCTGGAGCTCGTTTCTTTATATCATTCTCAAACATCTTTATCCCTCCCCTTTCTTCCCTCCTTCCTCCCAAGTGTCAGATTCAGTAGATCTTGGGGGCCAACAGGTACCAGAAGTTCCATTTCTAATAAGTATCCAAGTTCTGCTGAAGGTGCTGGTCAGGAACCACTAACTTAAGCAGTACCTTCTATATCCTGGAAGTCTGTTAATTTTGTGTGCTTAAAAAAATAAAAGAATCAAGGCCTGGGAGAGGGTTCCTTATTCTGTGGAAGGAGGATGAGGAAGAAGTGAGGTGGACTGTGGACAGGTGTGGAAGGAAGGCCTTTGTTCAAAGTGAGGTAACCTGAGAGCAGGGTCACCTCATGGAAAAGATGAAGAAACTCTGAATCCCTTGTAAGTGGGGTCATTTGTGATCTCTAAAATACCACCATTTGGTGGTTTGTTTTTCATGCAAAGCAAACTATTTCTCTTCCACACAACTTTTAAAAAAAAATAGAAAGACCTTTGTAGGTAGCGGCTATAGGGTCAAGCCTCAAACTGACATGTGGCAGAGCCACATACAAGTCCCAACGTGGAGGGCAGAGCCCTCCTAACACAATTAGGCTTGACCCTATAGCCGGTCCCTACATCAGGAGAGGTGTTGCCAGGACCAAAGTGAATTAGGAATGAAAGAGGAGGGGGCATAAGAGGGTATGAAGGAAGAAGCCAATGGAGTGGATGAAGGAGAGAGAGGAACTGGAAATAATCCAAGGTGTGGACTCCAAAATAACCCCCATTGGGGAACGCGAACTGGAGAAGACCCAGCAATGCAAGGCTCCCAGCTTGTGACAAGTCTTGACAAACTACCCCAGGAGTGTGAGCTCTGCTTTAGGCAACCTACCCACAAACTGCCTGCTCCCGGTGAGACAGGATGGCACAACCACACCTTTCAACTTGAGGTATCAGTACTTCATCTAAAGTATCCTCAGGATCCCGAATGAAGTTTAACTGTTCAGTAGAGAGTGAGGAACCCCAGGATTCCAGATGAAAATGTTCCATTAGGGCTCCTGCAGCAGACTTGCTGGTTGGTGGAGCCAATAGCCTACTCCAAGGCCATGCTGCCCCTCCATGGCTGAGCAAGGGAGTGCAGCTGCTGATGCCACTGGGAATAGTATCATTCATGACCATCTGGGACACCAGGAGGAATTGGCAATTTACTGATGGCCAGCAGCTCACTTTCTGAGTCATGATTGAAAACAGAAAAGCTAAACATGCTAAGCAGCCTTGAATGTGTATTTGTCTTGTCTTCTTGCAAATCACCTTTGGATTAACCAACAGGGTGACCTAGAGAGTTTATTGAATAGAATACCTCGGCAGAGTTGATCCCTCATTATTTTCTACTTATCCCTCACTCGCCCTACCCCAGGGTTTCAAGATTGCATCGAGAATGGGAAGTGGGTTTCAGGAGGATGACCTTCCCCACCCCAAAGCCTCCATAACCTCTTAGAATCAAGGCTCAAAAGCTGGTTACCATGAGCCTGATTTAGCCTAAGATCAGCATGGTACTGAAAAAAATCAGGATATTCTGCATTTAAAAAAAATGTGGACTTCGGCATCTCAAAAAATAAGAATACTTGGACAAAAGAAAACTAGACTTTAAGTGGTAGGCACATTAGACATAGAAGAGTATATAGATATTGTATTATAAATATAGACACCTGAAACTTATATGATGTTATGATTAACCAATGTCACCCCAGTCAATCTAATTTAAAAATAGAAATATTTTGGAATTCAGAGGGAACCAAGTGGTCTGATGTTAGAAAGGAGGTGAATGTCCTTTGTGCCTCACACTGGCCACTCCACTCCTCCCTATTATCTGCATGGCCATTGGGCATTGGGATTGGGGACCCTTAGATCTTGTCAAGAGCCTTTAACTCAAGTGGACCCTCCTCCTGATTTTGTCCCCAAAGGGGGACAATGAGAGGAACTGTGGCCCAGCCAGGGCAGTCAGACACAGAGGCCAAGCTCTGGGAGGAGAAGGTGGAAGGACTTCGCTTGAGATCTGGGAGTCACAGGGTTCCCAGGGGTAATTGAATTTACCTGTGCTTTGTTCTTGTTCCTCTGTAGCGCCTGCACCTCAGTGAAGATGTGGCTGGCGCCACGTTCATGGCGGCGGGCAGTTCGGCCCCAGAGCTGTTCACATCTGTCATAGGTAGGTGATGATCTGGGGACATCTCAGCCCTGAGCTCTCTAAAGGACCTGGGCTCAGTGGTTGTTGTTCATTATTATCTTACTAGAGGCCCAGTGCACGAACTCATGAACCAGTGGGGTCCCTCTGCTGGTCTGAGGGATCAGGCGAAAACTGGCTCTCTGACATCCCCCAAGGGATCCCGGATTGTGAGAGGGTGCAGGCCAGGCTGAGGGACCCCACCAGTGCACGATTGAGACCAGGAAGAGATGTGGAGGTTGCTCATCCGGGAGGGGCCATGGGAAGGCTCCAGGGTTTGTCTCGCCTGTCTTGCTCAGTCCTGATTAGCCAGACCCCAACAGCAAACTAACCTACCAGTCAGAGTGTCTGCCCCCTGTTGGTCAGTGCATGGTATAGCGACCAGTCAACTGTCTGCCCTCTGGTTATCAGTGCCCGTCATAGTGAGCAGTTGAGTGGCCTTAGCATATCATTAACATATTATGCTTTGATTGGTTGAATAGACGATCAGACTACCAGACAGCATATTAGGCTTTTATTATATAGAATTAAAGAAATGCTTTTACTATGCATGGACGTGCCCCAGCCCCAATGCCAATGCTCTTGTGGGACAGCATCCTCAGATTAAAGAGCACCCTTCAATCCTTGACTGCTTCCTGCATACCCTCTGTGATCAGTCTAACACTTAAGAAAGTTCCTCTACAAACACCTTGGAATATGACACCCACAACAGCCAGGCTGATTCTGTCTCTGTGTTTCAGGTGTTTTCATCACCAAGGGCGACGTGGGAGTTGGGACCATCGTGGGCTCGGCAGTGTTCAACATCCTGTGCATCATCGGAGTCTGTGGGCTCTTCGCTGGTCAGGTAGGAGTGATGGCAGAAGGTGGTGTCTGGGAGGGCGGGCGTGGAAGTGAGGCAGCGGCCAGTCTGGCAGGAGTCGAATCAGCACAAGGACCCAGTGGTCTTGGACAGTGAGTTTGTGGTGTCACATGCCCAGGAGGCTGGCTCAGCTAGACCTGGAAATTCTCAGGCACCTCCTTTGGTCTCTGTGTTGATGGAATATAGAGTTCCCAGGTTCATGTAAGTAATTAACCAGTCTGAAGATATGGGCCACGAATCTGAAGGTGCCATGCTCATTTTGATAGTATTGATCTGAATTGGAAAACCTAAAACAATTTTAGGTATAGTGTTGCCTCAATGTAAAGAGAGGAGGAGACAGGAAATGACAGATGTGTGTTTTTCTGCTAAAAACAATTTGCATCCATCACAGTTTAGGACCCATCTACAGTAAGAAAACATTTTATTTCCATGTTCGCTTTAGCTGACTTTTGGGGTCACCAGGGGTTTTTGCACACTTGCATTTTATCTATGAAGACTATGCCACTGCCAGGGGGTGTCATGGGGTCTTTGTCCTTTATGAACTCTGGTGTGCATTTTGGAAAGTCTTGGGAAGACACCCCGAAGTCACCAAAGTGTGAAGCTTTCCGGTATCCATGGCATTGCAGGGGCAAATGGGCTTGCAACCAGCCTGCCAGCACTCATGTCCTAGTTTCCTTGTAGAAACACCCAGGACTCCAAGTATTATCTAGGAAACATGACTTCTAGAAGCCCATCAAGGGTGTCCACTTGCAGTGTTGACGTACCCGGTGGTCCGAGACAAGGTCCTGATAGAAGTGGCTGGGTGGTTTGAAGAGCTAAATAAAGTTCCAGGGAGTTTTCTACCTTGCCCTTCTGCGGGCCCCTGGGTCATTCAATCAACCAGCCAGGGGCACCCAATGCTGCCGGTGTTTTGAACACAGACTAGAGAGTGTCTGAAGCAGGATGCACTCTGGCACACCACTGCTATTCCCCACTGCTTGCCTTTACCTCCATCATCTCCATACCAATTTATTTTTCTGGGTGGCCTGGTGAGTTTGTTACTCCTGGTGATAGGCAGGACCCCTTGATCTCATCAGGAATCAGCTCCAGCACCCACAAGTGAACAGTTACTTCTGAGAGGGACAGCTGTGTCCACATGTGGTTATTGAGTTCTTCTTACTGGACTGCACATTTTTTTTCTTCATCCTTTGGGTCAGTTCTCTCTTTGTCTTAGGTTTTGTAAACCCACAATATGGTATTTTGTCGATCTCCTATTAATGTAGTCAGTACCAAAAAGAAAAGTCTCTGTCTTTGCCTTCACTTCCATTTGTACTTCGCTGGTTCTCATCTGAGTTGGAGATGAACAGTCACATCCTGCAGAAGAGTCTGTTGCTATTAGCACTCTCTTAATTAGCACTGCCACCATTAGCAGTACGTTTATTAGCCTGGTGGTTCTTCGTGTTGTCATTAGTTCATTAGTCATTTGTACCGGAAACTTGATGCAAAGGCAAGCCCAAAGAGGGAGAAATAAAGTACGTAAGCAAATGAAACAAATGCGGGGACATAGCTAGTAAATGCTATGCAACTAATTACATATGAGGTGGCTTGAATGCATTTGTATTCCATAATTTGTTAGCAATGCAGTAAATCACTTGTCTTGTTAGAACAAGGACTTAAAAGGCCAATTACTTCCTGAGCTTTTAGCAAGTTCTGGTATCAGTCACTTTACCTTCCAGAAGCTCTTTGCCAAGCTCATCTCGCAGCCCTGCAGCCATTGTGGAGAGCAGGAACCTCCTGGGTGATATTAGAAGGAGCCCATATGATGGTTCTGGGTGCCAGCCCTTCCTCCTGTCTTTCCGTGTACTATGCCTACATACAGAGTTCCAAAGCCACACAGTGCTCTTCTTCAGGACTTTGTAAGATCCACGAAGTCTTTGCAGAAGGAGCAAAATGATATTTTGGGAAACAGATTGCCCTGGGTTTGAATGCCGACTTTGCTATTGCTGGCCATGGAGCCTTGGAGAAGTTGTTTCACCTCTTTAAGCCTCAGGGTTTTGTTTTTTGTTTTTTGCGTTGTTTTTTTTTTTTTTTTCATCTATAGAGTAGGTATAAGTGCACCTACCTCCTAGCATTGCCCTAGGGATGAAACGTAACGTGTTCAGCAAACAACACCAGGCCTACACAGTAGATGCGCAACAAAAGTTAGACACCATTATCAGCTCTCAGAAGAACAGCAATCCCTAGATCTCTTGCCTCAAAATTCCATGCTGGCACCCTAGCCTGTTTGGCTCAGTGGATAGAGTGTCGGCCTGTGGACTGAAGAGTTGCCGGTTCAATTCCAGTCAAGGGCACATGCCTGGGTTGCAGGCTCAATTCCTCATAGGGGATGTGCAGGAGGGAGCCTATCAATGATTCTCATCATTGATGTTTCTATCTCTCTCTCCCTCTCCCTTCCTCTCTGAAACAAAGATACACACACACACACACACACACACACACACACACACACACACACATATATATATATATATATATATATATATATATATATATATATATATATATATATTTTAATCCCATGCTGGATCACTGCAATAATTTAACCAACCAGTGGGAGGAACTTAGAACTTGTGAAACAGCAGCCAGGTATCCCATGGCAAGGGCAGGAAAGGTCAGGGAGAAGGTCTCTATGTGAAATTCTAAATGAGGAGAGGCTGATTAGAACCATCTCACAGGACTGGTCCTGGCCTCTGTGCTGTCTGATCAGTGGGAGGAAAAGAAAAATCAGTACGAAATGAACGTGCCTGGCATCCCGAGCCGCCCTCCAGGCTGGTTGAGCCTATGCAGCAAGCATGTTCCAGCAAAGGACGGTTATTGGCAATTGAACTGATTAATAAATCCAATCATGGGGCTCACTTAGCACTGTTATTTATGTTGCTCAGCACTTTCATTTGGCTGTGAGAATTACCAGCAAGTGCCCATGGGGCTCTCTCTAATGTATTCCTGCGTGAAGGGCTGCTTGTGACCAAGTCTGTTACCCATCTGAAATTAAAGTAATTAAGCGGTAAGGTTTGAGTTCCTGTCTCAATTAGGGTTTTGATGAATTCGATGTAATTAAATGTCTGCTGTATTTGCAGTTTGCAAACATACCCAGTGCTTCGGTGTTCGCCTAAGGTGCTTTGGGGAGTTTTACGGGACAAAAAGGAAATTGCTTCTTAGAAAGTGGCTTACAGAGTGATTCTTGGCATGCCCACAAGACATTTATAGGGCTGTGGTCCTACCAGCTTTTTTTTTTTTCATTTAAAAACAAAAAATAACAACAAAGAGGAAACACCAATTTATTTCCACGTTGTGAAACAATGCACTTTTGAACTTAAATTCACCATCCAGAGCATGTTAAGCTTTAAAGACATAACCACCGCAAATAGAGAGTAAACAGATTAACTACATTCCAGGTTAGGACTTTCATATCTCAGTGATTACAGGCCGGCAGATGGCCCCAGTTCGTAATAAAGAGCTTCGGCATCAGCTCTCCTGGCATCCTCCAAATTACCTGATGTTCATTGGCGAGGTTCCGCTAATCTGGCTTTGCCTTGCTGTTCATGCTGGCTTCTTTAAACAAGCCAGAGCAGCACCCAGAGGTGGTACATCTGAATTCAAACCTGCCTTCAAAGCTCAGCGTCATTCATCGTCAGAGAAATGCAAATTAAAACCGTAATGAGATATCACCTCACACCTGCAAGAATGGCTATCATCAATAAGTCCACAAACAACAAGTGTTGCTGAAGCCGGTTTGGCTCAGTGGTAGAGCGTCGGTCTGTGGACTGAAGGGTCCCAGGTTCGATTCCGGTCAAGGGCATGTACATTGGTTGCGGGCACATCTCTGGTGGGGGGTGTGCAGGAGGCAGCTGGTCGATGTTTCTCTCTCATTGACGTTTCTAGCTCTCTATCACTCTCCCTTCCTCTCTGTAAAAAAATCAATAAAATATATTTTTTTAAAAAGTGCTGGTGAGGAGAGAAGGGAGGACTCCTGCACTGCTGGTGAGAATGCAGACTGGTGCAACCGCTGTGGAACACAGTATGAAGTTTCCTCAAAAACTTAATACAGGGGAACTGCCTTTTAACTCAGTGATCCCACTTCTGGGAATCTATCCAGTGAAACCTGAACTATACTTGGAGAGAGTATATGCACCCCTATGTTCATTGCAGCATTATTTACAATAGCCAAGATCTGGAAACAGCCCAAGTGCCCATCAGTAGATGGGTGGATAAAAAGCTTTGATTCATTTATAGAATGGCATACTACTCAGTCATTTAAAAGGATATCTTACTTTTCTATTGTCTAAAATTTTACATATGTCTCTTTTTTCCCTGACTTGACCTTTTCCTCTCCCCACCCCCCACGCACAGTCATTCCCACCCTGGGCAAGCCCCCACTGTCCCAGTGTCTGTGTCTAATGGTTATGCTAATATGTATGCATATAAATCTTTCAGTTGATCTTTAACCGCCCCCCTTCCCTGACATTTGTCTCTGGATCTACTCTTGGTCAGAGGTGAGTTCAACCCATTTCATTCACCTGAACCCTTCTTGAAACTGAATAATCAGCTCCTCACTGTAGCCACCTGGTGAGAGAAGAACTTGAAATTTCTGGAGGAAAAAAACACATAAGGTTATTCTTCAATTCTCACTCTTCTTTTATACATAATTTCCAGGGTACAAAAAGCTATGGAACCTGTGAAGACAGAAACAGGACTTATAACCAAGTAAAAATACCAATAGAAGCAAACCACAGGTGATCCAGATACAAGAATTGGCAAAAAGGAATTTAAAACATTTATCTTAAATGGGGAAAGAAGGGAAGACTAAGTGAAGGGACACTTAATTTCAGTAGAGAAATAGAAAAAATAAGAAACACCAAATAGAAATGGCATATTAAAAAATAACAACAGCTACCATTTATTAACCTCCAATCTACAGGCACCACACTAGGTGATTTATAAATATT